TGTGTGTGTGTGTGTGTTATTGGCTGGCCTGCCTGTGTCTATGTGATGCAACAGAATCGGGCTCAGAGCCCAGGTTGAACATACAATAGATGCTGAATGCGGAATTATTTCAATCACCTGCCAAGTAAGGGCCCGACGGGATCAAACACACACATATGAGGGAAACAGACCAGCACAGGATAGATTATAACTGCACTGGTGGCAAATACTTAGCAGGAGCTGCAGTCAGCAGAAAATGACACAGCATTTTTCAACACAATTGTTAAACGAAGCAAATATCTTCAGAGGAAACAGAGGAATTCCTGTGAAACAACAAATATTATTAGTAGCCTTCATCCCTTCTGTCATCCAGTCTGTCTTTGTGGGTTACTTTTATAAGAAACACTTCTCCACTCATTTGAACCAATGTGAGTCACCTATTTTTTCATGCCTACAACTCTCTTGTTGTTCATATGACTACTGATAAAATAGCTATGGGCTGCTCTGTAAAACATCATGACATTGACATTTGAACTTTGAACACAGGATGATGTGAACAAAAGCTTTTTCTAAATAGTTTTTTGTTTTTGTTTGGTTGCCTGTTTTTTTTTCCTTCAAGAGGTAACTGGATGACATTAAATGTTTGACTATATTCATATTGCTTTGAGAGAAGGTGTATTGATTGGTAGGCTGGATTTCTAAAGGCCGTATCATGTAATGTAAAATAGCACAGTGGCATGCTGGTCTAGCAGGATGTACTTCAGGTGTCATTGGTTCAGTGTCCAGTGACTCTGCAGATGCGATGCTGAAGCATGTTGCTGTTGTTGTTAGCATCTAAAATGATTTTTTGGAGAAAGAAAAATTTCATCTGTGCTGTCTGCTCACTGACTGTACACTTTCATTTAGTTGTGTCTTTTTCTTTGTCAGTAAATGTGTAAATGGATAATAAAATGAGCAATATAAACACTTAAATGCATTAGAAGAAAACCACCATAAAAGCGCACAATGAAAATACAAAGTTCGTTTGCATGAACAAATCCCTCGTAATGGAGCATGCTGCTATCCGTGGTTCTGTGCAGGTCTCCTGAGGTAAGTGAGTCTGCAGCTGCCTAGGCTTGTCATCACCCCCCGACTGTGAAAGAACCAAAATTCCAAATTCACTGTTTATAAAATGTTGTTGTGTTGTTTCCAAGCAACATGTACTGTCACAATAATGTGTCACATTTTTTGCTTTTTGAATTTTTTTTATTTCGAGCACTCTCAAACTCATACACTCAGTACAACAGCTGTGATGTCAATTAAGTCTGTGAGGATTTAGCACTCAGACCTTTGAGTGGAGATTGGGACATTGTTCATTGGGAGGAAGTTGAGGAAGACTCCTTCTGTCTTCTTCTCTTCACATAACACACATCGAGCAAAGCCATTTCCAGTATAAACCATCAGTGGTTTGGCAAAGAGAAGATGCAATGTAGAAGTTAAGTGTGTGTACCTCACTATTGCTGCATTGTGGTGGTGATGAAACCCAAAATTGAACCAGGTGTAAAGGCACAGTTTTTCCAAGTCTAGCATAATAGTTAAAAGGTAATTTAACTCAATTTTATGCTGATATCTTTAGTATCTTAAAGCTATTTCATCCAACGCTTCATTTGTAAAATAGGCTTGTTATTTATTCTTTCAAAAGTTACATACAGTACATTGTGTCAAAAAGCAACAGTGTGCTGATATGGCAGATGAGTGAAAATCCCTCATCCGTTTTTCATACTGTGAGGTCCCTGAGGCCAGAGGACCAAGGATGGAGACTGGGGGTATTGACTACCCCTGATAACCCCCCACCACCACCCCCACCCTTTTTTAGTGCAGCACACAAGGCAAATCGATAGCACTTCAATGGAGAGCAATCCAATGGCTGCAGTGCAGAAATAGATAAGGGGATCACATTGCTTTGGATTGATGGAAAAATTTCCATTGTGGGAAAATGGCTGCAGTACTCCCTGCTATCCATCCACTCTCCTTTTTGTAAATGAGGTACGAGGTGATAAGGTGAGAGGGGGGCTGATCTGTTTTTGTGATAAAATCTGGGAAGGTGAATACATAGGTGTATTGATTGTACTCTACTTTCTCGCTCAACTAGCTCAGGTGTTCTCTAGCAACTCTTAAATTTAGGTATTTGGCTGCTGTTTAGTGTCCAGGGGCTGTTAGAAACAGCCAACCTTTTCTGGGTGAATACATGTTCTCAGTATTCAATTTCAAGAATATTTAACATATTTAACATTCAAAAGTTAATTTCTAAAATAGACTCATTTTGGAGGAGAAAATAAGCATTTACTGTAGCTGAACAATAATAGAGGGAAAGTTATCTGTTGGTTAATTTTCATGAAGCCAACCAGGGCCTACAGCTCTCTACTGCCAGTTTTTTCCTCACCAAATGACTTCTTGTGCTGCCAACCCTTTTTAAACATAAAAGTATTTATATCTAATTTTGCAACAGAACTCTTCAGTGTTGAATCACTGTGATGTGACATTTATCTGATAACTCTTCACAGCTTGTCCTTGATGTCTCTGTTTTCCAGTCACAAATGTATTGTTTTCTCTGAGTTGCGGTTGTCAGTTAATTAAAGTGGATTGCAGTTAAATTAGGTCTTTAGGGTCATGTTGTTTTTAAATTTAAAATTTCAGCCCAGGATTAGCTCCCATCAGAACTCGTCTTAAGCAATATGTAAGTAATGACAAAACAAACAGTTCAGGGTTTTTACTGTTTTTACATTTAAAATGCTGCAGGATTTTCTTAAATGCTGCCAAACTGACAAGGTCGTCTAAACACAACCGAGCTTGGTTTATTGTTCAAAATGAGATTTGCAGTCTCCTTGTGGCATCACCATCCGTCTCCACGTGTAAACTAACATGTGCACATTATTCTCTGCTTGTCAGGGTGCCATTACATTTGTAGAATACAATATTTCAGATCAGCATTACTATTCAAAATCACACACGGTTCAAACCTTGCTAGAAAAGTTTCATTATGCCTTCAAATTTCACAGTGTGCTTGTTTTAATTTCCGAGGCCCTCTGAGCTTGTGTGTTTGCTTTTCATCTTGTATTAAACCTCAAGGTCATTTTATAACAATGCTGGTCTTGATGAATAACAAAAGATACTGCTGTTGTTTTGCCACATGTCTATTTGAGGTCTGATTTTGTCTTTCCTTTACATATATTTTTAAACCTAGAATCTACTGGCAAATAAATATACATTGCACTGTAGTGCTTTACATTGCTAAACATACTTGTGTTGTAGATATACAGTCACAATGAATACTAATTTCATACAAGGTAGGTTAATGTTAACTAACTTAATGCTTTACTAACTAACATCCCTTGTACTCTATGTTAGATGACTGTGACACGGCAAAAAAGAAAAAAAAAAAACAAACTCAAACATACAATCGGGGAAACGTATCCATAGCTTGAATTTATTGATCTTACAATTAAAACTTGACCTCAGAGTCTCCGTGGCGGTCATTTTTCATTCAATGGGTATATTCAGTAGGACAGTGATGACGCTGCTGTACAATACAATAGCCTTACAATAAGAAACACAATCATCCTTTAAGGCTGCTGAACTGCGCTTTTTCTAATGTTTACCAGCCAAGGTGAAAAAGCAAAACAGTATGTCAATGACTGAATGTGACATATTTTAAGATATAAGTGTTGTTAACCCTCTAGATTGTTATGTCCTTATTAAAATGTAGTTAACAACCATGTCATGAAGAAAATAGAAGGCAATAAGTCAAATTAAATCTTTACTGAATTTTTGTTTTGCTTATATTGGTAGGATTTTGTGAAGCGTAGCAAAATTGCAAAGGGGAGTCTTA